ATTGCGTTCATAATTTTAATGCTAATAATTGATAGAGATTGAGGTCTTTCTATCGTTAGACGAAACTTAGAAAATAGTTTAATTAATTACTTGAATAGTTTGAATACTAATTACCATATCGATAAATTAATAATTAACCTTAAAAACATCAACGTCTTACTGGAACCTTGAAATGTAACGAAGATGTGAGAAAATGAAACGTGAATAAAAAACGGCAAGTGGACGTCCCTTCATAGTGACTGTTTCTTATGATTACGGTTAACATATCAACAAAAAATATTATTTTACATCTTAAGATATACACAATTTAATACATTAATTCTGACCATGTTCTATTCCAACATTAAAAATTACTATTACAATTAAAAACGACATTTTACAATGTGCCATATCCTCAAAAAATTAAAGTGTAACTTGTTGTTACGCTTTACTATACGCGCCTGACATATTTATTCAGGTAATTACGTATTCAAAACGATTTACTACATAAATATTATCAGGCGCATTAAATATAATCAATAGTTTATACAAATCTCGACTAAAAATACAAACACTGAATTAAGTTAGAAAAAATACTTAATCTTAAGCACGTAACTTAAATGTTTTACTAAATTTAGTATTTAACGCTACACTTTAATGTACTTTATTCAAATATTTTTTCACATATTGCACCCAAAAACGTAACGTAAGTTTGTTAAAGCCTCGGCTGCCGAATTAGATCTTTCTGAGTTTACGGAACATAACCTTTACCCTATTTCGTGGATTTATGATCAAACACCCTAAAATGTTGTATGTGGACAACTAAACCATACGAAAAAAAAATAACATTAAAAATGTAAAATGAAACAGCAAACAAGCTAGCAGACGACAAATATATTGATAAGTCATTACTGTTCTAGTTAAATGCTAATTATTTTTTTAATTTGTGTCTATTCAATTATTATTATTTGCGAAACTCATTATCGTGAATTCACTAAGGGCGTAATGGTCGCTATGAGTAGGATATTAATACCGAATAAGCAACTTTTTTAATCTTATATTTAATGTGTAGTACGTTCTAGAAACCCTATTGTTTAATTACGTCTTATAAAGATATAATTTTATAATAGAACAAATTACATACGAAGAGCAAATCCTTTATTTTACGTTGTTACTGTTGACCTAAAGATAATAAAGCAATTATCGCTAATAGTTATCAATAAAACTTCAGTTTATTGACTGACTTATCGTATCATCATATATCCTTACTTCTACAATCACTTTTAATGCACTAGTGTCCTTTACTGCAGTGATGTTTTTATATAATTAACTTATTATAGCAATTCACAAGACATTACAACTGCGCAGTGCTAATTGATACTTAACTGTGTCTTGCACTCAGCTAGTTATCGTGCTGAACTCGCGCGCGCAACATGTTTCCCTTATTAATACTAATTGTTATTGTTGTTATTTATATCTTCACCACGAGGAACCACGGCTACTGGTCAAAAAGGAACATAAAACATGATCCACCGATACCATTGTTCGGAAACCACTTCAAAAATGTTTTCGGCATCAAAAGCATGACGGAACTTTCCACCCAGTTATATAGAAAATATAATAACGAGAGAGTGGTGGGATACTATTGTGGATCGACGCCCGTACTAATTGTAAGAGATTTGGACATAGCTAAGAATATAATGACCGTGGACTTTGCGTACTTCTATCCGAGAGGTCTCGGCAGGGACCCGAAGTATGAACCGTTGCACAACAATCTCTTCCACAGCAACGGCGATATATGGAAGCTCCTGCGACAGAGGTTGACGCCAGCCTTCACCACTGCCAAATTGAAGAAGATGTATCCCCTCGTAGTGAAGTGCGCGGAGAAGTTGCAAGTTGCGGCTGAGGGCATTGCGGCGCGGGGCGGAGAGTGCGACGTGCGGGAACTGATGGCACGCTTCACCACAGATTTTATCGGCGCCTGCGGCTTCGGCATCGAAATGGATACCATCAACACGGAGCACTCTTTGTTCAGAGAGCTCGGTAAGAGGATCTTTTCACGATCGTGGAGAAACATCTTACTGATCGCTATGTGGGATCTTCTGCCCGAAGTAAGGAGTTTGCTCTACGTTGACGATAACACTATAGAAGAAAAGATAACTGAGATCGTTCAGAAGATCCGAGAGCTGAGGAACTACAAACCATCAGAGAGGAACGATTTTATCGATCTCCTACTCGAATTAGAAACTAAAGGTAAAATAGTTGGAGAATCAATTGAGAAATCTAATCCTGATGGAACTCCCGTACAAGTCGAAATGGAGATGGACTTGAAATGTATAGTAGCACAAGTGTTTATATTCTTCGCGGCCGGTTTTGAGACTTCCTCATCAGCGACCAGCTACTGTTTGCACGAACTCGCATTTTATCCGGAAATTCAGGAAAAAATACAAATCGAGATCGATGAAAAACTAAAGAAGTACAATAATAAATTATGTTACGACGCTATCGCTGAAATGTCCTACCTCCATATGGCGTTCAAAGAATCACTAAGAAAGTTTCCTTCTCTGGGCGTCTTAAATAGAACGTGCGCTCGCCGCTACAAAATACCAGACTTAAACGTCACAA